GCTCCGATACCTGGGAGCTCTGCCGCACTCAGGCACCCCCGGTCTTTCTGTGACCCCGAGAGTCCTGAGACCACACTGTCCCGCAAGGGTTCCACGTCCCACTTAGCCACTGGAGCGATGTCCCTCAGCGGAGCCAACTTCTAAAAGTTCCGATTTTGTGCTCCGCAACTCCAGCACCCGCCAGAAGCGGCCGACGGAGGCCCCTCCCCCTCCGTGTATCCTCCCGAATATCGCCTCGGATTCACTTCTCCGCACGTCCTACCTTCCAGGAAGTGGTCGCTTTTCTGTTCAGAGTGTTGTTACAATTCTTATCTTTGATCTCCTGTTGAGTTCGTAGGTGTTCAGAATGGTTTGATCCCTATTCAGCTGAATTCCTGAGACCAGACGAAATCCAGGTCTCCTACTCCTCCGCCATCTTGCTCCACCTCCTGATAACTTTTTAATACCACACACGGTGAGACCAAGTTACATGAGAAAATAGATATCTCAGAACCTAAAAAACCTTGGAGTCCAGCAGCAGGGGGGAATGTGGAGTGGTGCTGCATGAACAGTATGTGAAATTTAGTTGTAGCTCAGCAAATATGTGGAAGAGAGAGAGAAGAGAAAAGGCTCAGCTGAAGCAGGCCTTTTCCATCCCTTAGAGTTCTGCCAGGGATACTGACCTTCTATGTTTCAGAGTTAATTTTTTCCTTATTTGTCTTTTTCTAGTTGGGGAATGGCGGTCAATGTGTATTCTACCTCGATAACCCAAGAGACTATGAGCAGACATGACATCATCGCATGGGTTAATGACATAGTATCTTTAAACTACACAAAAGTGGAACAGCTTTGTTCAGGTAAGGGATTCTTTTTTAAGAATGTATTTACCTAAGTGTTTACTCATGTGAAATGTTATTTTATGAACCGCAGATGTTGCATCTTGGGTAGAAAAAAATATCAGTATTGATATATAATTAAAGGGGAAAAACTCAGATATAACCAAAGAACATGCAGAGGGAAATGACCGTGGGCATCTAAGAGCATAGAACAGTCCCAACACCTATTACAAACGGTCTCTATAATGCCTTCTTCTTGGTCTTCTGGGCTCTTCTCAGTCATTGCATCAGCAACCACACTTCTGTTCCTAAAACACAGATTGGGTCTTGCAGCCCCTACTTAAAAAACCTCCCAGGCTCCACCTTGTCCTTCCTACAGGATAAAATTCATTGTTTTTCATGGCCGATAAAGGTTTTTCTGTTTTTGCTGCATCCTAGCTCCTCAATTTCTGCGTCTCTCCCCATACCTCAGTCCTACAAAATACTCTTGGGTTCCCTACAGACTGCCTTTTGTATCCCATAACTTTTTTTCATGCTCCCTTTGCTGAAAAGGTCTTTCTTCTTTTCATTTGTGTTAAAATCTCATTCACACTTAAAAATCCGACTCTGTTGTCACCCCTCTGAAGAGTTCCCCCAGATCTCCCAAAACACTGTGCCCACTCTTCCAGAGTAAGACTTGACCATGCTGTGTTAGAAGGTCCTACTCCTGCTCCCCTGAAGGCACCAGAAGTCCTTGAGGACAGGACTGAGTTTTATTCTTCATCAGATGCATGTATCGTCAGGTACATGCACCATGCCTGATATAAAGTAAGTCTGCAGGGAATGCACGTTGAGTTTAAAAAAAAAAAAATGAAGTGCTCACTTCGGCAGCACATATACTAAAAAAAAAAAAAAATGAAGATTTGACTTCAGTGATAAAGTCGGAGCATGTTATAAAAACGTGCCCCTGGTAAAGTAATTCGTTTTTAGAGTATTTATCAGGGAAAGTCTTCCTTTGGATATAGGAAGTATTTTCTTCTTGTGAACTTATAGGTAAGAGATTTCCTCTCTGGCTCTGACATGAAAATGGTATTAGGAAATATTCCTGAAGTGTGTTCTCATGAAATTCCACAAGACATAACAGATAACAGAGGAGTTAGCAGGTTGAGCTAGTACAGGGGGAAGACCCTCTCCTGTTTTTCCCAGGAGGGCCTGTGTAAGGAGATTTCATGAAGTGTAGTCAGAATTTGGAAAGTCCCCAGGGTCCCCCGCAGATAAGCCTGAGTCCACCACCCACCAGTGACTATATTCTCCTTTGTCCAGGTCAAGATTTGAGAACACTCTAGAGGACAGACTTTCACTATTATTGACAGGTCTTCTCCCATGATCGTTTGTCTCCCAAGAAACACAGTGAGGTTGGCTAGAGCTAAGGCATTACCTCACTCACCCTTCCTGCTCCCAGACCTCAAACCTAAGTCCTGTGATTTGTGAGATCAATAAGGGATGCTCACCAACCAGTTCTTTGCCCTTGAGTACAAGCTGAAGAAAAGCTGGCATAGACTGTGATGATGTGCGAGGTCTGTATCGTTGGCCTGTTGAAATGACCCCAATAGTCACTGTTGGCAACGGCCCCTGTTGCATCTCACTCAACTGCAGATCTCTACACAGTCACATTTTATGGTACTGTTCTTGCTATGCGTTCTAGAGTGCTCCAGCATTTTGCTTTTAATTTGCTGGGGGGAGGGGGAACCCCAGAGTTTTCTATTGTTAGCAATCCCCTTGTTAACAGTGCATACTCTCTCAGTACCATCATTGTTACTAGTTCCATTTCTCCACAGTGACTGACACATACTGTTCGCTCAGAAATGCTTGCTGCAGGGTGCATGAAAATCCGTTTGCAACTGCTAGGGGCAAAGACAGAAAGGTGTATCTTACTCTCAAAGTGGGCGTATGCACATGTGGATAAGGGGAATGGGGTTGGTTATCAAGAAAAGAGATGAGAAGGAAGGAGTTCAGTGGTAGATGAGCCTGTGAACAGCATTTTCTCTGTAATAAGCATGGAGAGTTTTTGCTAGCAAATGCAATGAGAAGGCAATTGGAATTTTTAGAGTAGTAATAGATGTAATTAATTTCTTTGCTCATCTTTCACATTTCTAATAAAGCAAATGCCACAAAATTTTCAACAGCCTTTGTGAAAGATTCTTGTAGAGTTCTCTTAAAGCATTGGTATGCATTTTACAGCCACTTGCAGCTTGATGAAACCTGCTAGAAACCATTTTGGTCACTCCTGAACAGGTAATTTTCATTAAGATAACTCACTGGCTCCCTAAGGCTACAAGGTTGATGATTCCGAAGAATAAAGTAGATTTAAAGGTTCCTTTCTGCTCTGAAACAGTTTTTGGCTCAAAAAACTGTAGGATAGAGGTTAACATGTTTTTCGCCTAAATCATGTTAATCCGTGTAGTACAAAGACAGGTCTTCAATTTTAGGTAGTACTTTCCTCAAGCTGTAGACCATATGCATTTATAATCTCCTATGGGGCTCCTTAAAATGCAGATTCTTAGGATCCTTGACCTTCTCAATCAGTTTCTCTGGATGTGAAGCCTAAAATCTCTATTTTAACAAGCACCCCCGTACTTTTGTGCTATAGCCAAGAGCTTAGAGTGCATGTTAGAGAAACCCCAAACCACTAGAAATGAAGTCAAAATATCCAAAACCTATGGGGCACAGTTTCCTCATTCATAATTTAGTCTGTGACTCTTCTCTTCTTCAGTGGCATTTAGCAGGAAGAAGCAATCTATTTATTTATTTATGAGTTTATTTATTTATACCCTTCATTGTTCAATAAGACCTTTAAGGCCGCTAGGACAGTGCTGTTAGGCTAAGAACAAATCACTAAGTGATTTCTCCTCTTCGTACTTACAAGTAGTCAAATTCTTGGCTAATAGTTTTTTCTTCAACTTTTATTTTAGTGACTTCAGTGTACTGTGTGTGGTTGTATTTTAGTATGCTGTGGGAAAACACAAAATAACTTCACATATTTAAACTGATTTTTTCCTTATTCAGTAAAATTAATTCTTTTTGTGAAAGACTTATGCTCTAATTCTGGCATTTCCCCTTTGGCATTTTTTTTCCCATTTGCATTATTTTTTATTTCCAGCTAAGAGATCTCCCTCCAGCTAGTACTAAACCTGATGTCAGCTTTTCTTTATAGCTCATAGAGAAGCAACCTACTGCTTCACATTTGTGTTCCTTTTTCTTCAGAATTCTCTGCCTTTGTATGACATTGATTTGTATATAAGCGTCTTAAAAGAGAGGTGTTGTGAGAAGGCCTAACACTTGGAGATAGATTGCAGTGAGTTGCAAAACAATGAAATGACTCACTCTTATCTCCTGTTATTTTATTCCACGGATGTAACCTTATGAAAATTTCCTTTGAACAGTAAATCTGGGTCCCAGAATCATATGCATATTTAGTGTGCATTCATTTCTTGTGAAAAGCAGCCTTTACCTTTCAGGTGAAAGATGAGGCTGTGTAAATGGACAGCAGTATAACAGTGGATGTGCACATATACCTGTAATCACCTAAATCTGTTGTAAAAATGAACAGTATTTGTGGATTTCCCACAGTTGAATTAGGGGATTGAACCCCATGAAACACAAGATTGATTCAGCTTCAAAATACTAGGTTGTGGTTCAATTGCTTTATAAAATTCCCACAGCTTTTTGTGGAGTGAGATACTTTGTTTTTGCTTCAGTACCGGCTCAAACCACTCAATATTCTATAAGGTACTCAAGAGGAAGGATGGACAGCATGGTGCTAAAAATCCAGAAAGAAAAAAAAGAAAAAACAGCTTTAACAACTTGAGACACCATGTTGGAGTTGACCAAAAAGGTAGCAGACTATATGGAGAGGAACGGGAAGAAATGGGAAGAGGAATTTGATGGGGGTGGAAAAAATGTCCCTTTTCCTTTTCCTTTTCCTCTGCACCCTGCTTCCCCTGTTCTCATACACCAAACCTCCTTTGAAACTTTTGGCCTCCATTTTTCTGTGTCGCCAGCCTCTCCTGCCTACGGGGATCTAAGCTGCAAAGCCATTGGGTCTGCTGCTGAGTCACTACCGGGGCTTGCCCAGCCCCCTCGCGACCAGCAGCTCTCCCATTCCTCCAAAGCCCAGCACAGACTGCCTGTCCTCTCCGTGCGACCTTCCCTTACTCCTTCCCACCCACTCCGCAGGACAAGCCAACTGCTGACTTTTTACATCTTCAGAGAGACAAACCACGTGTCAGGTGGGCACTGCCTGGACTGTCACCATGCTGGCTGACAGCTCAGTTATCTTCCTGAGCATTTTAGTAAAATTTAATTGAAATTAAACTATTTTTTCAGATGGAAAAATGTAGGTGTTTTCTTCACTAGCTTAAAAAGAAACATGATCAGTATTTGATTCAGTTTCAGTTTGTGCTTCTCCAAATTGTTTCAAGTTCTGTCTTGGATCAAGTTTCTTGTATTTTTTTTTTCTTCCGGGAAAGCTTCTAGATTCAGCTGGTCATATTGCAGTCACTGTAGTCACATATACAATTCTGGGTCCTTGATGGCTCTCTGGAAGGACGAGGCTTCCCAGAAACACTCGGGTTCACAAAGGTGCGGCTATCTGCCATGCCCCGGGGCCTGGACAGGTGCTGTGAGCCTAGCAGAATATTTCTTTGTGACCATTTCTGACTGCAGTCTGTGCCTCTTAAATAGGTTAATCCCATCCTAGTGTGTTGTCCCCTGGCCTTTTTTCTTCTCTCCGCAGAGACCTCTTTCAGGACAGGTTAGTGATGAAATCAGCTCAGAGTCTAAATTTAGTAGACCTTCTCCTGTTGGCTCTCTGGAACTGAAACCAAGTAAGGATGTTTCATCTGTGTCTGTCAGCTCAAGAGCTTACTTAGCTTTATAAAATCAGACTGTTATTTGCTGTAAGAAAATTAAGTCCTCTTGGATTGTGTTGCTATGGTTATAGATGTAATTGTATTATAATGGAATATTATTCATGTTTGTGA